AAGTTACGAGAAAAATGACGAAAGAATTATTATGGGAGTGCATGCCGACATAATAATATGGAAAGCCCGAAGTCTATTCGGAAAAACAAAGGACACAACATGTATTCAGAAAGAAACGTGGAAGGGATGAGGATGTTCAGGCGACCTTACGAAAGTGCTGTTATGAAAATGGCAGCTATCAAATAGCGTGGAAGACAGTAAACTATGCCATATCAAAGAGAAACGCAAAGAAAGTTGTCGCTGAAGCAGTTTACAGCGTCCAAGAACCTGTATGACAAATTTCAAAATTAACGGGCTCGTGGCATTGACCTTAGAACATTGTCCACAGACAAGGTCATCGCCTATCCTTGATGACGAATAATACCGCCAATAATCGTGCAGTCCGTTCAGCATTATTACTTAAATCGTTCACAATTCAAGCAAGTTCCGAACATTTCGTGATGCCAGCTTACTGGCTATGTACTTAAATACCTTAAAACCTTTACCACAGGGAAATATGCCTAATGGCGAGGAACTGATAAATCACCTTATCTGCACGACAGACGCTGCGAGCAATGTAAACCATCATCTTCGCCGTCGCTGACATGCTGACGCTCCTGTGGAAAAATAAATTAAAGTTTGTATTCAAATGTCGGTCTTCCTTACACTTTCATGATGGCGCCTTTGTTTTCGTGAAGTTAATGACGGTGGGGCGCTGATGTCCATTTCCGTGACCTCAGCCAGAAGTGTGTAATATTTTATTACCTTCCAACAGAGCTGTGGTTATTTATCAATCTCAAAAGTAAGGCAAGTGATCCGATCAGGGCCAGAATAACCCCCTGGATCACAACCGGTGCCACTACGATCACTCGGTCGCTGCCGATGATGATGAGACATATAACTTGCAACAACCTCTCACAAATTGCTACTCTGCGGTGTGCTTCAAATCTGCCGCGTTCGATTACCAATGAAAGAAAGTCCAACGAAAATATGATACTTAGAAGTTAAGAAGTTAACTTGATTATCCGGATTTTAATAAGAATTCTTTCCGAAATACGCAGTACTGCATCACATGCGGATGAACTACATTTTCAACTAACCTACCATTCCTCTTATGTTGAAGAGTTGAGCGACATTTCTGAATTCTTTAGTTGAAAAGGACTGGCAAGAAACTCGAAACTATCGTCCCCATGTATCGAAACTTCTGTACCATTGTGCTTGTACTATAGAAAAAAAGGTGATTATTAAAATTAAATGAAACCTACAGCTTCGAATAACATCGAACGTAGATCGTTGCTAATACTTGGCGTTACAACTTCTTAAAATTATAAAAACACTTGTAACACACCTGTTACCTTCTTTGTTTCTCGATCTCCTTGTTCTAGAATCTATCATGTTCTAGCAGCAGAAAGATATTTTGTCAAAGCATGATAATTAATCAACGGCAGAACCCCAAAGTGACAAGCAGAAAAAAGTTGTTCTTGGCAGCCTATCAGTTTCACGCTCTTACGTAAAATTACATGACATTCCTCCCACTCACCAGTGAATAATGCGTGTGAAGCAACAAAGATCTGAGACGACAACTACGATGAAAAATCGTATCACGGCTACCTGCTCTATTTGGCGCCCGCCGTTACGTAAAATCTGACATGAATAAACAGTATTTAGTGTTGTGATTCATAATCTTTAACGATAACCAAAAGTATAGAAATAGTTCTAAAGAGTCGATATTCTTGATAAAGTTAAACACGTATTTCAAAAAATAACTTGAGTCCAATCGATAAAGTGGTCGACATAAAAACTGCGCTTCTAAAAATAAATTGTTTTGCGACTCATTAACGGAGTGTATAAATCAATCAACTATAAGCAGTCTTGAAACACTAGGCGAAATATGCTGCTAAAAAAGCAGGGTGAAAGAATTAGCTTAAAGGTACGAAAGCAAAACTGGAACTAGGACAAACAAGTGCCAAAATGTTGATATCCACCTACCTTTCATATAACCAAAAATGCCCATCATATTTTTGCTTTACTAAAAAACTGGCTAGATAATTTTTGATCACACCCATTGGCATACGTGTCTCGCCTCCGTATTTACATGACTCAGCTGATTCGTGCCGTCTTCTTGCATTCCGATATTCGTTCACATACCTATGGGATCTTTGACCTGATAATTTGGGCAAAACGCTGGCAAAGAAAAAGCTACTAAGAACTGAGGAAAGATACCGAAAGTCTGCAAATGAAACCGGGTCAGGAAGAAGCAAATGCCAATGATATTCTGGATTTAAAGATACAATACCTCTAGTCAGTATATTAAATATTCACCATCAGTGATACGGAGAAGCTCTTCCCGGAACGAATAAGCTCCTTGTACCCTAGATCCGTAAGAAATCATATTCACAGCGGAAGTGGAGCAAAACAACTCTTCTTTTCTGGATGCAAGAAAGGGGAACAATAAGTCACTGAGGTGTTTTACAAGATACAACACATCCAAGTACTGCCTACGATCCCAGCCGCACTTACTGCCCGAAGAAGGGGGTTATCAGCACTCTAGTCAGCAGACAACATCTGCAGCCAAAAAGAATTGGTGTACATCCAAAGAACTCTCAGAAACTGTGGTTATCTTACACAACTAACTGAAAAAGAAATCAGCAACCAGCAAAGAAACACTAGCAAGGGAATAAGTAGAATTTCAACACCAGCATTACTGTTCCATAAACAAGATCTAAGGGAGAAGCTGCAGAGAATCACCAGAAAGCATGGAATACGGCCAGTATTCATATTCAAAAAAGGCACTACAAACCAGCCAATCCATATCAAATTATGGAGGCAAAATCTAAATGGCGAAGATGAATCTGCTCTAAATCTTAAGTGCAATCTCAGTGATACGGGAGAAACCAGAAATTCGATAAAAGGGAGGAAGAAGAATACCCTAGTAACCTGACGAGATGGAGACGTGAAAATCTTCTGTAATCGCAGAAAAGGAAAGCGCGAAAGAAAACGAAAGATACGAAAGTAACGAAGAAAGAATGCAAAAATAACTCGGTACCTGTGGAAGATGCAAAATGGATACAATATTTTGAAACGAATACATCGAAGGAAAATCTTTTGAGCCAAGAGATAAAGGAAGTCTTAGAAATTTTGTCGAACCAATGCGTGAATAAGAACGTCGGCATGGAACTAAGTTCACATTAAGACGAAACAATAAAGTAGTTTGCACCGAAACAA